GTTCGATCCCCAGTTGGGCTGATGGATTCGCACTGCTGATTAGAACCAACCGGGTCGAAACCGCTTTTCAGTTGTGCTTTCCACGCTTAATTTGCTATCTAAACGACGAATTCCCATTTGAAATTGAATCAAATGCTCCAAATACTCATATACCACAGGATTTCGGATGAACAACGTTCCACTTGCAATGTTTTCATCTTGGCTTGCAACAAACACCGGATATTATAAGCACAGATACCACCGTCAAATTTTTCCCTCCGAAATCTCTGCCGGGAACCATTTTATATCGATGAGCGTGTCATCGGTATCGTTTTTTTTTGGATCACATGCCACTGGTATCTTCCCACAAATAACAAACGCAAAGTGAACGATCACTCCCAACACTGAAGCGTCAATGGATTTTCGAAGGAAAAGCAATATCGAACAGTAGGCAGTAGTCTCACTAATATATTGATAACATTGATAACATAATAATGACTTCTATTAACGTATACTTGATGACGGAATGATTATATTAAATCCAACCGAAACCATATATTGGCACTGTGCTTCCCCTATCATACTGGACGAAGACGGAGCGGACCAAATTAGTTCGACCTATGGATGAGTTTCCTCCCAAGAGTCTCTTGGTGATCAAGCGCCTGATCAAAGATGTGAAGCTGGCTTCCGTGGGAAGCTGATTTTTTGAGGGTGTGATTCGTTCCGAACGGTCTGACTTATCGGTAATGTCGGTAGATGAACTGTTGGAATGGTGATTCAGCGTTCTGTTATCCCATGCAGTCTGTTCTTTTACCTACAGGTAGCTGCTGATACTTTTATCTAGTTTTAGATGGCTAAAATACCCGATTACATCTCTTTACTTATATACGACACTGTTAAAACGGTTTCAGAGACCAAGAACAGACAATTGTTGCATGTTGAAAATTAATTTCACATGCAAATTCACATGACTCAGGGTCATTTGATTGTAAAAACGTGCCTTGAGAAGGGTTACCCACGGTAACCGAAACGTCGGCGAATATAATTCTCTACCAACATCGCTGTTATTTACACGATAACAATCACAATAAAACAACACATGGCGCGTCGATTTTTCGATACACACCTAACATCATTTAGTCACGATGTGTTAGTCAGCTTCACGAGGTCCTGAGTTAGGGTGATGGGTCAATTACCAACCCAAACGTCTCGAAAAGTATCGTATGTTGCATAAGCTATAACATTGAGCGCTATCCAGGTTAAAAATCGAGTCTAATCATTTTTGAATGATTCGCGTGAGGATGGTGATTGAAGCTGAAGGCTGAGCGACGTAATAGAAGTGCAAGTTTCTGAAGGACGCCGCTCACTCGCATTGTGATACCGATGACAATAATGATGTCATTGATAAGGAAGACCGCGAAGCGGATGGCGATGGTTGATGATACTGACACTGACTCCGTTCGTCCGAATGACCTCGCTCGACGATGGCTTGCAAAATGTTCTTTAGAGTGCGGTTGTTTTTATCGGGGAATCTTTTTCATTAAGAAAATATGGTTAGAGTTGGAATGATTGCGGATGTTGGAGTTGGTTTGTTCTTCCAGTTGGAACTGTTGTTCCGAGAAGTTTCGTAGCCAGGCTAGGCAACATTAGTTTGGTGTTGGTGGTGCTAGCCTATGGGATAACGCCAACCGTGAGGCAATGCGTTACAGTTTCTGGACAAAAGTGATGATTCAACCCTCCCAGTTGACGCCAGTCAAGCGCCTACGTGTTACTGCTTTTGAACAACGAACCGCAGTAGAATGGTGAAAACCATTCTGAAGTGCTGCGGTCCAGACAGAAACTGTATGGCATCACGAATAGAAGCCGACCATTGGTGGATAACTGGATAACCAATAAACTTCCTTTGTTTATGTGATTTACTTCCCTTGATTTCATTCATTGAACGAACTACTAAGTCTATGGCCTTTCTCTTGTATTTCGGTTACGAGCGATACCAGCGTAGAAGTGCTAGCGCGATACTGCGTTCACGTTGCGTCCGTGATCCGCAGTTCGTATATCGTGATATCTGCCTACGTTTACTACTACAGTCACCCTTAAGGTTTTGCTGTTGCTGTTGCCTAAACTGGCTATGAAACGTCTGCGAACAACACGCATAGCTCGGAGAACACATCAGCACCAAAAACACAGATTGAGTTACCAGGTAGGTAATGACTTTTGGTAATGTACGAGGTGAATGATAAGCGTACCGCGTTGCACTTTCGTTCCAAGCTATTATGTATGACCCAAGGTCTCCATTGTTTGGAGAACATTAGATAGCAATGTTTTAAATAATTGGCCTTTGGAGAAATATTCCGACTGGCAACCACGCTCTCCACCTGCAAGTCTCTTTGAATGTTCTTGGGTTCGATTGCAAGCAATTAAAAATCAAGACGACCATAGTAAAAGCGCATGCGCAATTGGATGTTAAAAAATCTTGGATTCCCTCAAATTATTTCAAGTATATGTAATTCGAATCCCCCCATATTATTCTATCCTGTGGGTTTGAAGATTGACATATTATCATACACATACGTTGAAAATAGCAGAAAAAGACCTAATTTATTTAGCATTTGAATTGTTACTAAATATCGTCTATGAAAGTTAAAAAATCAAAGTCTTCCCAGAGTTTTTAACAATGCTGTGCATTCTGTTTGAATTATTCTCTCGGGCATTCAGAAGATCTGACTGTGCGAAATATAACGCCTTCGAAAGACGAATTCCGGGGGACGAAATACATATATAACATCGTACACGATGAACAACTGGACCATGTTTTGATAATTGAACGGTTGAATTGGAATGTCTTTTCAATTTTGACCTGCTAAAGCCAGTGACTTCAAACAGAATGATTGATCAATAAATCCGAGATTTCAAGAAGAAAATTGAATGACTTTATACATTCAATTTTTCACATAATAAAATACGAAATTGAGTATCAAGACTTATGACCTAAATAGTCTTTTTCGGACTACCTCAAAGCACTCTGCTTCTCATGATAAGCAGTGAGCAGCTGAGCGGAAAATTCAGCGAGAAACAGTACGAGTGTATGTCTCAAGCAGAAATACGATTGAACACATAAGAGTGATATGAGATATCGCGGTTGCCTAATTCAACAATAATTAATCAAGTGACCCCCGTCCGAACCTGTCCACAAAATGCCAGGGGTTCAAGTCACCGTAGACAGTACAAATTTCGGTTATAAACGGCGATGTTGGTGGTGTTGGTGGTAGTGTTGGTTGTAATAATCGTTTTCAGTTTTTACAATCATTGACCATGGGGTTTCACCCAGTGGTTTTTGGTTGCCGCTGCCCATTTTGGGGTGAGCGTGTAAAGGGAACATTGGAATGTCCCGTTCTCATTATTAGTTTGATATTGTCGAGATGTATAAGTGCCACTAAGCCACATCACTCTATGTCTGTGACCATTGGTCACGATGATCCTGATGTCCCCATATGGAAAGCTTAGAGCAAATTGTGAGCATGTCTTCTGGACAGAGTTTTGAAACCTTTATGACAGGTCTTAATTTGGCAAACCTGACATTCTTTCCGTCAACAGCCTGCGTTACCAAATCATTCCCTCATTGGTAATACATTTGCTGACATGTTAAGTCTCTGCAGATCGACTAGTTCCTCCAGTGGGCAATCACCTTGAGCTTCACTTGTCCGGTTACTCCAGGAGACGTGTGCAATGCAACATCGACAGCGGTATTCGAACACTACAAGTCTGTCATACACCTGTTCTCGTAGTGCTCAAACCTCTGTCCCGTACAACAGAACTGGCTAAACTGCAGCCGCATACACTTGATCCTACCATAAATTCGGCCTCCGAGATGATGCCGCACATTTCTCAAATTGGTAAACGCCAAGGGGGTGCCAACTCAACATTCATGATGTGTCCATCAGGTGTGAAATAGATACCAAGGTAAACTGTGTTCATCTTCTCTCATAGGAATATTTCACATCCTTCAAAATCAGAATGTGCATCACATTGGACGACACTCCAACCGTCCCGAGGGAGCTTACAATCAACCCGGATCCTTACTTACCAGTGCAAAGTCGTAAGCATACCTCAGGTAAAGTAGTTTGTCGCTGGGTGAAAAACTATACCGCTGTCCTTGGATGAGTACCCGGTTGTTTCACAAATAAAATCCATAGCAAAGTTATAAAGCAAAGTATAAACAGTGAAGTTTTAAGAAACATGGTGTTCTTTCTGGTCTAGGGTGAAAAGAGCCATAAGCTCGAATGCAGCTTCACCCAGTAGCAGATATCGATCCCTCAATCCATTTAAATCTTTTGGGCACAACACTCAGGGAGAGAATGCACTTGAACGGTCGATCGAGTCAAACGTCAATTTCAGATCGGGGAAAACAGAAATGTTGGATCAAAAAAACATCTTTATTTAAAAGTGTGGTAAGGATTGAAAATGTGATCACTAAAACGTCAACCAGATCTAAAAAAAGTCTAATATACTAGCGTACATCCGTCACGGGCGGCATACGATCCAAACAGTATTATGCCCGAGGCAAGTTTGCAGGAAGTGTTCATGGAAGCAATTAGTGCCAAATAGTATCTAGAGCTCGAAGAATCTGCTCATAAGAATTTTTGGAAGATAAACTCAAGTTTATCTCCAACGTGCTCAGAAGCAATGGCTATCCCGACCGATTCATTCAACGAAATTTGGTGGAACAAGTACCAAAAGTACACACTGATAGGGTGGAAAAAGGACGTGTTCATTAGTCTTCCTTTAGTTTTGCTTTTAAGGGTGAAGTTGCCGTGGAAACCCTCATCAGACGACTGAATGGAGCGGTAAAAGCCACATTCAACGCCGCGCACCTACGCTGTTTTTTCAAAAGTTCACCACTGATAACCATACGGAATAAAGATAAACTACCGATGTTGACCGCTTCAATGATTGTTTACTCGTTCAGATGCGTTTGTGACGCACTCTATGTCGGTCGTACGGCACGGCAGTTATCTATCCTCATGAAAGAACACCATCCCCGCTGGCTGAGTCGAGGTGGTTCCGGATCTATCACCAGTGCGATTCTCGCTCACCTGGTAGACACTGGCCATCGTGTTGACCCAATTGAAGCATTCCGCATTATCTATCAGGTTCCCCCGAACCGGTCCAAATATGTTGGAATGCATACGTTGGCCATAGCCGAGGCCATCTGTATTAAGCATTTGACCCCCAAACGATGCACCCAGAAACGTTTTATCCAAGCAGTCCATCTCCCCCGAAGGGTTCGCGAACCCACTCCTCCCCCATGACCCCGTTTTCCACATACACAAGCATTCTCACACAACAACACCGATTCCTCAGAACTGGGTCACACGACCGTCGTGACACAACTGCAAACCCCGGAAGCACAGCTTTGAGAATGCGGTGTGCAACACACACACACACACACACACACACACACGTACAAACTCAGACACGCATGCCCATTTTATTGTTCTCCACCCACCCCTAGGATTTTTCCCCCATTTAAACTGAAATAGCATGATTATGAGTTATTGAAAACAATTGTTCGCCTGAAATTAAGTTCTAAACCAATTAGTCTGTTCTTAACAAGAGAATCTATCACGTTTGTTGCAATTCGGTAAGACGATGGATTCACACTATTCATTTGGAACGTGTTACCTTCTCACGGTGAATTCAAGAGTTTCGTCATCTTTAGGACCTCCGTCCTTAAAAGGCGATGGAGACAGCCCATCCGGGGTGGATGCCTCGAACCTTTGAAGAAAACGTATTACCTGGGAACTCACGAGTTCAAGTGGGATGATGATTTCAACTGGAAGTAACTATCTGGTTGAGGTAGGGGATGATAATTTGCATTGGATCTGAAAATGCTTAACCCAACGTTCAAGACGACGTTGCTGTGTACCATCGCAATAATAATCAACCTCATTTTCGCACATTATTCTTCAGATCGTATTCGTAGTTAGACGGATTAGCGTACAACTGACGCTTATCGCCCCAGATTTTGTCATCGTTCCACATATTGCTATCCACCACTTCTGCCAATCATACCTAAAGCTCATGATGAGCTTGTCTGATGGGAAATTTAGCTACCTCCGTGTCATATTTGGCATTGGGAGCAATGACTTGATGAGTATGAGAAAAGATGGTCGAGGTTGACGACGTCCACTTGTTGTGTTTCGATCATGTGACAGAAACCACCGTAGTTTTGATGGACTTTTGAATAGTTTCGCCGCCATTGTATTCAGTGTTCATGGAATCCTTTGACGGTTGTTTGTACTAGGATGCCGTAAGAGGACCCTGCTTCAAAGGCCAATAGGCAACTGTCGTTTACATTTTATTGGGGCCATCGGTTTCCGGTGGAACGTTTGCGGTTGTTGATCAGGCTTTGAAGAGAGGGGGAATTTAGGTAGCAATAAAACCGATTTGGTATCTAGGGGTGTTAACCAATCAGAATCGATCGTTAGCAGTGAAAGCTGATGGCAATGCGGTCGATGTTGGTTCTTCAGTGCGAAGATGTAGGGGGTGTTGCTGTTAGTTGGTATCGGTTCTTGTGGGAGACGTTGGTGCTTAATCTGCACACTATTCAAATAGGCGATTTCCGTTGTGCGTCTGGCTGACTGTGATTGCGTGTGGACCACCCAGACACTAACCTTATGCCCATTTCATCAGTGAAATCCCTCGTCGCGCACCGTATTTCACTGTGTGGTTTGTCACCCATACTAAATTAAGTAAAAGGACACTGCACTGTAAGTGATCGACCGTATTCCAAGTTAGTGTTCAATCTTATCTATCTCGACGCCAGCAACGCCGCAAGCATCGGGTGCCCCGGATTGCCTGATACACAGACAGTGTAGTGCAGGTATGAAGTTGGGTCAGCGAAAAACAGTGGGATAAATGTAGTTTGTTCCGGTATGCGTGATTTGGTAACAAGGGATTTGTTCAAGTGGTTTCAACTGGTCTGGTCAAGTAGCACGACGGTTAATCTGATAGAATGTACGGTCATTGAATTACGGCTCGGTGAAATGGGGATTATGACTTCAACAAACACATAGATTCTGGTTCGCTTGTCTTACTTGGCAAAGACTGAGTGAGTTCCCATGGGGAAATCAAACTAGAAGCATCTCTTATATAATTTAGGGGAGCAGACAATAAAACCAGGCAGACAATAAACAGTGTTTTCCAAGTAGGTGCTTGAGACTTTAACTCAAGGTGGCCCACACCGATAGGAAACCTGACCGGGAAGGTTAGATCTCATTGACCTTTTTACTCTATTTTCACATGCAACTGCATCCAGACTGTATGCCAAACAAATCACGGTACAATAATCTTTATGTAAAAGCCGGACGTTCCATGATTTTCATGTGAGCGGAATACTCCAAAGTTTCCAGGCCAAGGCAGGTAATTTTTTCGAAGAATCCTCAACCGGAGCTTATGGCTAGCCAAAGGCTGACCCGTAAGGCAGCATGCAAATCTGTGTGAGTACCGCACACCATTGGGAGTTGGTGTTCAGTTCATCGAATCATACGCCCTTTGGATGGAGATTGAACGTCCAAGATGCGATATTCAATTGAGCCGGCGACGAATTTATGTCAATTCAAGTCAATTCACAACCAGGAGGGATATAGTTCGTAGTCCTCTTCTTAGTTGATTTTCAGAATCAGAGTTTTTGGCCAACTCCATTAGGAGAACGTATTTTTACCCCGGAAGTCGGTGGAGCGATAGGATGTAAATCCAAATGGGGAACCTGAGCGAAGATTCGACGTGGAACCTTCCAGAAACCTGTCGTACAGAGCATTCGGAAGCAAAAATCGCAAATCCACTATTTGGGAATTTGTCCTTAATCCGCTTGCACTGTTGTAGCTACACCCGTAGCCGCAAAACGTCACTTGATTGAGTCATTCTCATTAATCTAGATAACCAATGGTTACAATCAAAGAAAGGCCTATACTATTCATCCTGGAGATCAGTGCGATTTGACTGATCAGGTTCAGTTGTGCGTTCAACAACAATTCAGCAGAGCTCAAAAATGACCGTCTATATCTCTGACTAATTCGATTACGTAGCAGCAATACAGACAAACCATTCGTAAGCAATATCAGGACAGTAATCACTAGACTGCAATCTTTTCGTTTGAACTTAACCATTTTTATGTATTTATGCGTTGTAATCTGCCACAACTGGTTATCTTTTTATTTACCGGAAAAAGGAACTTGTATTTCAATTCGTCTTGTAATGTGCAATCTCAGAGTGTATTCACTTACGTATGAATTGCTTTCTGCTTATTCTTGTATATAGGCATTATTCGTCTGGCTGTAGAATATCGTCTACGGTGACTATCGCTTCGATTTATGATTGTTACCCTTCGTTCTTAAATCAACTCATTTTCAATCTCTCATTTTTGGTAATGAATCTACTGACAATTGATTATACATTTGTCCTTGTGAACGATTCCAATCCGACTTCTTCAGTGCTGTGACCATCATTCAATCTAAGTAATTTAGATTTATCCTCAAGAGAAAGAAATGCTGTTCTTCACAGGATTATCATTAAGAATACTGTCCCTACAACCAATCGATTTCCTCTACTTGGAAACAACATTTTCATAGGTTCAGAAATTCTCTTGTTTATTAGATTGGATAAAATAAAGTACCCATCAGACTCTATTCTGTTTGTCAAGCTGAGTATAGATGTTCCATTGTTTTCAATTACCTCTTCTTTAAAATATACAGACATATCCACTGGCACGGTAATTGTCAGTTCCGCCATGTGCTGTCTCCAGAATCTTTGACCCTCCAGAGTAGTCATGACTAGTACTACTGCTACTTCTACTACTACTACTACTATTGCTACTACAACTACTAAAGTACTATAAAAAAGCAGTCCCAACATTACCGTTTGCCTTGGGTCAGCGTGTTGATGCCCTTATTGCAACATGGAACGTTTTCATTACTACACGTGTCTCCATATGTTCCTTTCGTATTCCGCAGTTACCTGTTCCATGTGTACCCAAGAGGCCCCGTGTAATAACTAATCAAATTGTTTTTGTCCCATTGTATTAGCTTCTGTAAACTATTCCGCGCAATTTCTTGCCTAACTGCCCCATCTGAGACATGCTATGTTACGTCGGTCACTTTTTCAACTAGTCTCCGAGTCAGTTGCGAAATCCATTTGTTGTACATTCTATTTCGCCGAATCCTATACGGAGGAGGCTGCTTTCAATGCTCTCCTCTGAAGAGAAATAATCTCTCTTGGTTGTCACACGATTCTCTTTGTTGCTGTTGCTGCAAAATTTTAATGCTCGAAGTAGTTTTAGAAATTTTCTAATCCACTGTGGAATATTTTTGGCGTTATTCAGATGCTCGACCTTTCCACCATCTTTTTTTCTATTAAGAAGCTCTTCTGAGCACTTTTACCTGTTACTTAATCTACTCAACTCGAAATAAACAGCGGATACTGTTTGATGATAACCTGTTTCAAATGGGCTTCGATTTCCAAGTCCGAAGTCGATCCGAAACAGTCTCCTTTTAACTGGTCGTAATCTAAATTTATCACGGGATATTTTTCCTGAATATAAACACTATGGCATGCATACAGCCGCACTACCAACCAACCAACAGACAATTATCATGCTTGTGGACGAGTTAATATCCGTTAATCAGAAATGATTTTCTCATATTTTGAGTACCACTGCCAAAAAACTATTGAGGTCCTTCGAAACATAAAGATGGAACAATCGTTAAAATTCAAATAATATGCAATCTTTTTTTCCCAGAGATTTGGGATCGTTTTCTCCTAATATGCTTAGTACTCAAATGCTACACTTTACTGTAACGAAACCTTACTAATCTTCGCCACCTCTAGGGCCATGCATGGGCGTTTAGTTTTCACACGTTTCCATGCCCTCCTCAAATCAATGAATTGTGATTTCGGCGCAATGATTCTTATGGACATCATGTTCACCACAGTACAGTTGCATTACTACATCCTGTTCTTTAGAATCATTATTCTTATCATTGAAACCCACACGATTACTGAGTTAAGGCTCTGTGGTTCAGTCTCATCGCAGGAGCATTAAAAAAAACGTAGCAAATATTCCTTCCCATGAGAATGGATTATTTGCCTTATTGAAACCAATCATGCTATCAAGCAGCGGGTTGATCTGTAAGGCTTCCATTTTCGATCACGAGTCATGACGATGGCAACGGACAACTGAGTCGAAGTGTTCTGATATATTGCATAGACGGACCCGTTTCGTCAGTTGCCTTAAATCGGGTGACGTGACACG